ATAAGTCAAAACTCTATTGAGGAGGGGATGCTTAAGATAGCAGAGGAAAAGCTCAAACTTGGAAGAGATATATCGGAATCAAAGCAAGGTTTGCATATAACGATTGACATTGTATTTGTGCAAATGACTTAATCGATTGCTTTTACCAATAGATACGAAGAATGACAACGAGGAACAGATGGAGAAATCGGATGTTAAGACTCTGCTTAGAGCTGCACTCAAATTATGATTATTATAAAACTTTTGTCATATTTTTATTTTATATTATTATTAGAAGTATTTGTAAATAAAATATATTTAACAATAAAGACTAGAATCGTTTGATAAACATTAAACACAACAATTAATTCAATTAATAAGTCATGCATTGAGTAAAGAATTGATTCAAATATATTTGAATTCAAATTATGTTAAAAATAACGGCATTTTAAAAGATAACGAATTTTTCATTTTTATATAAAATCTGAGACATTCTTCTGGAGTGAAGATGTGATTAAAAGCACAGATTTTATTGAATTTTAAGACAAAATCATTGAATCATTGATTAGCCATTGATTAACAGCACATTCATTGTAATACATGAAAATAATTGGACTTTAATTACAGAATTCAATATTTATTAAACCCTTTCTTCAAAGTTGAGGAATACTTTCTATTATTATCTCAAATAAGATTAGATAAGTCTTGATATCAATGAGAATCAAATGATCTAATGTTTAAATACAAACAAACCGTTGAATCACTAATTCATTTACATTTCAATATTTACAAAGTTTTACAAATTATCATTTGATTCAATATTTGGACACAATTTTTATACAAAAGTTCTTAAAATAGAAATAAATGAAAGAAAACTTAATTTTGATTCAAAAGACTTTATTTGGTTTTATTTACAAAAAGAGATATAATTTTGATATAAAATGCAAAGTCTTTGAATTAAAAGTGTGAGTCATTGGCGGCCAAACATTCTGTCCTCCATTTCGCGGGCCGTGGCCTTGACATGAGGTGTGACCTCTCTTCTGGTACACACCCCACGAAGTTCTGCTTCTTCGCGAACGGCTGCCATCTCTAGTGGCCCGCGAGGCCGTCGACAGACCGTCTTTCCCCGCAGATAACGGCCCGCACTGTTCGCGTCTTTTCTGTCCTCTTGGGTCGCCCTTCGCTTCGTTTGACCGCGTCTTCGGTGTCGACGACCAGAACGGGAACGACGTCTTCGACATCTGCCGCCCGAACGGCTTCGACGCCGGCGTCGACTCTCCAACACTTCACCGCCCGATCGCAGACCAGATGTCGTTTCTGTGACAGTCGTAGTGGTCGTCGATTTCTTCGTTACTTTCTTAACCAATGGATCCATTCTTTGACTCAAAATTTTGTCGATTTTTACAGAAATATTGAATTTTCCTAACGATTGTATGAATGAATGATTGAATGATTAGATTTTGAATTCAATTCTCCTTTTTATACCCTTTGGAGACAACAATACAATTGAATACATATTTCGTGCAATTGAGTGAACCGTTGATTTGCAAACTTTTTAAGTTCTCAGATATTTTAAGATTGCATTCATTAGTTTTGTCCATCACTTCCAATGATTGATTGGACACTAAATCCATGTTTTAGGCAAATAATCAATTTTTGTTTCATATTTCTCGTTTTTAATATTAATTTTAACATAAATTTCAGTTCAAAATATGTACAAAAAGCGGTGATTTTATGGATAAAAGTCTATAAAATAATTGCAAATCATTTTACAGATTCAATAATATAAAGACTTAAATAATCAGATAATATTACATAATTAATTAACTCAAATGCGATACTCCTCCTCCCCTTGGTGATCTGTTGTGCAGAGTGAAGCTTTTTGGAGAATTCTATCATCTGGACTGGATTTCAGTACCGGTGGTCCTGATTCCGGAGGAAGAACGCCCACAACACCACTCGTGAGTTTGTGCTCTCGTTGATGGACCGGTGGATGCGATCCCTGACAGCCATGTATTCCTGTTCGTGTTTGACGGCCGTCAGAGCGCCGGACAGCTCTTTGATTTGCTCCTCCAGTTTGTTATGGTTCGCGTCGTGGGCTTTGAGCTCTTCGTCGGTCTTCGGGGCGTCTCCGATGTCCATCGAGAACATCACTACTTTGGGAGTCATTGTCGACATCTTATTACCGAAACAATACAGATAATTGCCGTCCATATGCGCGGCGAACGTGTATTTGCCACTCGAGGCCCTCTCCTCCGAGTGAATCACTTTATTGTCCGGACCTAATGTCAACATCAAAGACAATACACGTGTTAATAACCATTAGTACAGTCAGAGAGACAGACACAGAGGTGTGGCCGCCGTTCGTTGTGCTAACTAACCGGTGATCTTGACGTCGATGTCGAGGAAGCCTCCCTCCACGACCTCGAAGGTGAGCCCCAATTTGGTTCCGGTGGACACTTTGTCGAAGAAGCACTCCTCTGCGTGAGCGTCGATCACCAAGAAGTAGGCCTCCAGACCACCCGTACAGCACAGGAGGACAGCCAATAATGACAGATATATGGTATGACTTCTGGCCATTGCTTTCAAATGCATTTCAAACGCAATTCACTTATCATTTAAAGCAATGATTGAATGAATTCAATGAATCCAACGATCAGTCGATCACTCAATGGCTCTAATCTATTGACGTGTGTTTTGCACCGATTTATTACATATACACGTCGGCATTGACTCGCATTCACAAACACTGTTACGCATTCAAGGAACTCCTGATCGACGACAAGTCGGTTGAGCAGCACTTCTCGAAACTCATTTTACTCTATTATCACACGATGTCTCACAACGAGCTCTACTCATGTCTCCAACAACTGAACAAAGAACTACTCATTGGTTCCATTCGATGCAATTCACAAGAGCTGACTTCGGTGTTGAGACACTTGTCATCTAATCCGCGATCGTTGAAAAGTATGGCCCGAAACACAATTTATCTATCGATGGGCAGACAATTGGCTCAGAATATCAATAAACTACAACTTCCGCCGTCTGTTAAACAATACGTTTTAGAGTTTGTGTCATAAAACTAAGCGTAAGATCTGTTTGTTGTCTATTAATCCAAACATCGATGAGCTTTAATATAAATATCTATTTAGTCTTTATTGTTAAATACATTCCTTTTTATTTACAAATAATAATTCTAATAATGTTTCAATTGTTTCATTAAAAATATTAATAAAAATATGACAAAAGTCTCATTTATTAGGGAATGTGGGCTACAATTAGTGGTACAGTAGTAGTGAGTGACACAACTGTGCTGTTCGTAATATTTTTCGAGGCCATTATTCCCAACAGTTTGGTATATAATATCGATATATACCGTAATAATCATAATTTGAGTGCAGCTCTAAGCAGAGTCTTAACATCTGATTTCTCCATCTGTTCCTCGTTGTCATTCTTCGTATCTATTGGTAAAAGCAATCGATTAAATCATTTGCACAAATACAATGTCAATCGTTATATGCAAACCTTGCTTTGATTCCGATATATCTCTTCCAAGTTTGAGCTTTTCCTCTGCTATCTTAAGCATCCCCTCCTCAATAGAGTTTTGACTTATAAGCCGATAGACAATCACTTCCTTAGTCTGACCGATACGATGACACCTGTCCTCCGCCTGTTTGTCGTTATATGGATTGAAGTCAATGTCATGAATGATGACAACACTGGCGGCCGTCAAATTGATTCCCAGACCACCCGCTCGTGTGGACAACAAGAAGATAAAGAGGTCGGGATTGTTGTTGTATTGATCGATCAAATCCAAGCGATCGGCAACTTTAGTGCTGCCGTCGAGCCGTAAATACTGATAAAATCGCAATTTCATAAACTCTTCAATAATATCCAAAACCATTGTAAATTGACTGAAGAGAAGCACTCGTTTGCCTTCATTTCTGTATTTGACGAGCAAACTGTCCAACTCTTGAAATTTTCCCGAATCCTCGATATAACTCTCGTCTAAAGTATAGTTACTCAACGACTTGTAATGTTTGCAGAGTTTATAGAGTTCGAAGTCATGCATGACTTGCATGTCCTCGAAGATGAGCTGAGGATTGGCCTCGCGATGGGTCTCTTCTTTTAGCATTAATTGTGACATTTCTCTCAATTTCTTGTCGTCATAGTGTTGTCGAATGAGGAGCGGATGGTTCGCCACTTTCCGCAAATTCATTAACATTCCGTTCCCACTCTTGAACTTCTCCTCACTATCGCTGTCTTCAAACGTAATCTTCTTGTATTTGATTTCTCGGGTGTAGTTCTCAATGAGATCCGCGTATTTGAGCTCTTGGTCTGCATTCATGGGAACGGTGAGGATGTGGTCTATCTTTGCGGGCAATTCTTGCAGCACCTGATGGACAGACAAAGTAGTGGTTAAAACATTGTCAAGTAAACGACGAGTCCATTACTTACTTCGCTCTTAAGACGTCTCAAGACAAATGGTTTCATAATCTTCTTCGCCTGTTCTATGCGTTCCTTAATATATGAAATCCTGTGGGCGTTATCTTTCTGCACACCAAACAACAAATCCATTCAAATTAAATCTATCGTTAATTACATTAAATATAAATAACACATACATTAGTATAAGTGAATAAAGTCTTGATTTGGTCCGTCTTTCCGGAGAACATGTGAGGCATTGTGAAGATCAAGAGTGACATCAGTTCCACTAAATTGTTCTGAAGTGGAGTTCCCGTCAATAATAGTCGGTGTTTAGCCTGAATTGTAAACAATAACATATAAATCATATCATATTACTGTTGTGTTATAAAACATTTGCTAAACATTATAGTAGACATGAGATATACCTTTAGGTTCATGAGTGCCATATATCGGGTGCTCTTAATATTCTTGAGATAGTGGGCCTCATCGAACACACAGTACTTGAATTTACTCTTTTTGAACAAACTCTTATCGCCGGGCGTTTGCGCGATATTATATGTGGTGAGGATTACGTCGAATTCAATGTCGTGGCGAGAGATCTGTTCCCGAATCAAAGCCCTCTCGTCTTGAGAGCCGTAATAGAGTAATAGTTTGATGTCTGGACACCACGTCTGGAACTCTCGGCTCCAGTTCTCGAGCGTAGAGGAGGGCACTATCACCAGATGCGGACCCTTTACTGACTTCCTTTCCCTCAAATAGGCAAAGAAGGCGATCACTTGAATCGTTTTCCCTAAACCCATCTCATCGGCGAGAATACAATTAATGCCCTTTTTATACATCAATGCCAACCAATTGAGACCAATCAACTGATAGTGAGATAACTTCATCTCCGAGTTTATTATCTTTGGCTGTTCTAAAGCCGTTAACTTATCGACAGTTTTGCTCAAGTCTTTAGTCATCTCCTGACACGAGTTCATGAGCCGTCGGACCACCTCTTGGGCTCTGACGACATCAAAACACTTGTCCAGAATCTCAGTCGAGAGGTTGGCGTTCGTGAATTTGATGACAGCGTCGGACCAGTCGGTGAAGGGACGCAAATTAGTGATCAGATCAATCTTCTTGCCGCTAACGCTCGGAACCATTTGGAGCTCAAAATAGTTGGCCGTCTGCAGGAAATCAATCACTTTGTCCTTCAGGTCTTGTGTCCGGAATGCCATCGATTTAGACGACGACTTGTCTTTAATCACGTTTTTGGACTCGTCGTCGTCGCTGTTGTCCTCATCGCTAGAATCGACACAAACCACGCCTTCGGAGAACTTGTTATAGTTCTCTCCGCCATCGCTGTCTTCGCTCGACTCCGAGTCCTTATTTAAATCGAAATTCCGTTTCGAAAACTTGTTTTTGTTGTTTTTAATTGAATTAAAAGCATAACTCGAAGACTCTTCCTCTTTGCTATTTGGTCTCCATTTGCGGTAATTATCCAGACTTTTCATCTTCTCGTCATTCGTACAGATCTTTGGCTCCGTTTTCACGGCTTCGGCCTTCACTGCGGTCTTAGACTCGGGTTCGGGACAGTCGTAGAGATTACCCAATTTGATGGACGCGTTAAAGACGGACCAATCGGATTGGATGAGCGCGTCCTGTATTTCGCAGATATCGATCTCAGGGAACAACTGCTGTAACTCTCTTATAGTGGATTCGCACATCTCCTCGAAAGCCATTTTCCCGATCGCGTCCTCATTGAGGCTATAGCTGTTGGACGACGTCTTCTGCTGTTTGCGCGACACGTCTTCGTCGTCGCTGTCGTCGATCACACGCTTCACCCGACTCTTCGGCAAATTGATGGGCGATTCAGTGGATTGCGTGTCGTTTACGTCGCGTTTGCGGATCAGTTCCGGCGATTCCGACACTTCGCTCTTCGCGTCATCCGTCGGCTCTTTGACGCCATTCTTGACCAAAGGCTTTGGCGTCTGTCGGCCACCGATGATCATAATGTCGTCGTCGCTGTCAGCCATTGCCGGTGAATGAAGGGATCAAATGAAGACAATTGTATTGAATATCACACACAATGTCAACGCAAACAATGTTTGAGACTTGCATTCAATGATTGAATCATTAAAAGTATTTTCAATGCAAGCATTCATTCAGTCATTCATTGCCTCAAAAGTGGCTCAAAGTGTTTGTTTGACTCCAAAAGCGCTCAACATTTGAATCACACAAAAGGCGCCAAACATTGCGATCGCTCTCTAAACACATGTTTTGCACTAAATTTACTCATTATTTGTTAACTAATTATGAATTTTAAATATATTTTAACTTATTTTTTATTATAAATATAAAAGATGTTGTTTTTGAATGCATTTTTTACATTAAAGTTCAAGTTTTGGTACAATTTTTATGGTCAAAGTTTGCGTTCAATTTTTAAACACATTTAAACAAATTGTAAATTACATTAAATTATGCATTAATTAGAAATTTAGCGAATAATAGGAGAAAATTAATGAATTGATAAATAAATAGAGAGAAACGAGAAAATAAATGCAAATTACAAATCAGATTAATTGGAAGAAGCTTTGGATGTGGAAGCGGTGGTGTCCTTCACTTCACTACCGTATTCTTCGATGTCCAGAGCGTCGCCGAATTCTTTGAGATCAAAACTGGACTTTGGCTTTGAATCGGTGAACAATTTGCTAAACATTTGCCTGTCTTTCGTTGCGTTAGTTTTGATGGCATTATTGCAAAGAGCGATGTAATTTTGGGCCGACTTATTGTTGGGACCAAATTCTAGTGACTTCTGGAAGTCATCTCTAACAATTTGCTAAACATTTGCCTGTCTTTCGTTGCGTTAGTTTTGATGGCATTATTGCAAAGAGCGATGTAATTTTGGGCCGACTTATTGTTGGGACCAAATTCTAGTGACTTCTGGAAGTCATCTCTTGCCAACTTGTATTCATGGAGATCATAGTAAGCCCTTCCTCGACGGTACAGACCTTTGGGATTCTGTGGCTCCAGTTTTAGCGCCAATTGAACGCATTGAAGACAATCGTCCAATTGATTCATCTTTTGATAACAATTTGACAAATTCTGATAAGCGATGTAAAGAAGTCGATCCCTTTCGGGGCCGTACTCTTCGGGTCTCATCTCCGACGGAGCGTCGAAACGAAACCTTTCGTATTTGGAGTCGTGTCTCAACACTTTCACCATTCGTTTGTATTGTTTGACAGCCAATGAATACTTGCATTGATTGAAGTAATCGTTGGCCTTAGTCTTCAACACCTCTGCTGTGGCCAACTTTTGTCTGTCCAACAACTGGAACGGCTCTTTAGCTTCGGTGAAGTCTTTTAAAGTGATTTCGTAAACCACTTCTCGATAGCCGTCGGGAATACCGAACTCTGGTTTGCCTTTCGGTCCGAAAGCGTATTCGGGTTTCACAAAGAGAAGGCATTTCTCTTCTTTCCTCATTTTGGTGACCGCTTTCTCAATGCCTTCAATCACTTCTTTCACTTCCGCTTCGCCGACAGTAAAGCTCACACTTCGCTCTTCAAACACTTTGTCTTCATATTTGCCCACAAAATGGACGTCACATTTAGAGCCAAAGATCGCCAATTCGTGTCCATTTCCGGGAGTAATGATTCTCTTCGTGAGTCCTCCGTCTTTTTTCTTCGTCAGATCAATGAGTTTGAAGTAAAAGAGCTCGACTTCGTAGGAGACACGAGCGCCCGGAGCCATCCCTTCCGGACAATTGGTTTCGTCGAAAGAATATTCGCCCGAAAACGTGAAGTTTGAAACCTCTGACCACTTCATGGTTTTGATAGCGACGTCCAGACCTTTGATCACTTGTTTGCGTCCGACAGTGAATGTGAAGACTTGGTTCCGTTTGCGAGACGAGTCAAACACTGATCCGTCCTCTCGTTTGGCGGTGTAATGGATGGACACGAGATCGCCGTTCATAGGTGTGGACCAACCCTTGCCCTTCCAGACGACCACTTTGGTCATCGTCTGATCCCTCCAACGGGACATATCAATCACTTCTCCCCTTTTGGTCGCCACCCCTTCCACAGAACTGTTGGAGAAGATTGAGTCCGAAAGCGAAACATTGTCCGACTCTAACGAGAGATCACTCATCGCTTTTCACCACAAAGTATTATCAGTAATATTATGAACAAATGTATGGATCAATTGGTGTGACAGTAATGACAACAACACATAGACTTTGTGTCAATGGGTTTGGTCTACAAAATAGGGAACAGTTTTTCGATTCAAATTTGAATAGAATTTCAATGAAATAACACTTAAAATAATGACCGCTTCTCACGAGAAACTCATACTATATTTGACACTCAATTCACTGAATCATCAAATTTTATAATTATATCTTTCGTTATCTTTTATTTTAAGTTTTATTATTATTTCTAACTTTAAAACAAAAGTAAAAAACAAAATTTGAGGAAAATTTTAAATTTATTTTAATTAAAACACAAATGAATTTTATAAGTACTGTATTTGACAAATGAAATAATGACAATACAAATGATATAATTTATAAACTATTAAAATACATGTATTTCGAGTTGAATGACAAAAATAATATCTATTTAATGGTCGATTGGGCGGAGGAACCCTTTTTGGACATCTCTTTGTAGATTAAAAGCGTGAATATAATGATGATTAGGACAGCCATCGCTATTATGATCATCAGAACCACTGCCATCACAGAGACATCGCTATTGGCTGTGGATTTTAATGGATCCCTACCGTTGCAGTCTTTGATCCAATCATTGATGGGTTTGACGGCGCAGACACTAAAATCATATTTATTAAGCTCTGACCGACAGTAATATCGGCCCCCAAACAGATACCAATGCGAGCCCCAAATGAAAGCGGCTTTAATGTCATTGCCTTTCAATTGGGTAAAATTTTTGGTCGCCTTTAACTCATTGGACTCGTAATTGGCCACCAGTTTAATCATTTCGGAGCCATTGGTAGCGCCCGACACTGCCTTCGCCCGCAGAAAGAACGGACTCGAGTCGACCATCACTGACATGCCGTAAGGGTTGGAACTATTCATGTAATATCTGGTGTATCTTTGATGAGTGGGATCCTCTTTGCCCATCAGAGACTCGAACCCGTTTTGACATTCAGTGGCCTTTCGGGTGGAAACGTATTTGTTATCGCCGTAGCGGACACTCCACGCCATACCCTCTTTGCAATTGATTAGCGCTATCTCTCTGGGCTTCATGTCGTCCGTCACCACCATATCTATGGGTGCATTGATTTTGTCACTCCAGACACTCAATGAATCGATGGTCACAATAACCGATTGGTCTGCGGTCTTGAGGTCTAGTCTGACGAACCAGTCGTTCGCAAACAGAAACGCTATGTCTTTATCGATTACTTTTGTGGCCGAATCTATCTGTAGGTCTATTTGGTCGCAAACCTTCTCCTTTGGAATCACTGCTAATATAATGACAATATTTGAGATCAAAATGAAGAGAAAAAACATTTTGGATAACATATTGACA